CTCGTGTGGTTGGAAGTAAAAAAGCCATAATTTTTTTGAAGAGGCGAGGTACTATGAAATAATTGGTTTATTTATTTATTTGTCCATAAGGCCAGTAGTAAGATCAATTCAGTTTAGAAGAATTTCATCTTTACACTTGCTATGATGAAATATAAATAAGATTTCAACTGCTCAGCAGAATTATATTTGAAGTTTCCCTTAACATCAAGATTAATCTGGGGCAGGTGCAGCAATTAGACATGCCAAGAATCTTTGAAGCACAAATTAGGCTGTAATGACCTGAATTTATCTGAATGAGAGATGAAGCAAACATTCTCTACACTAAAAAAGCAACAAGAGGCTGTAATTCTACACCACTTCGTTTTTAAAAGACTTTTTTGGCTTTTAAGAAGCAAAACTAGTTTAGTTATTTCCTAATACTGAACTTTACAGAAACAACACTAGATGAACAGGTACTAGTGCACAAAACCAATACTGTAACACAGTTGGCCTGAAAGACCTTGGATAAGGCAATGCCAAAGGGATAAAAAAATGTTCATCCACCCCTGACAAAATACTGTGCTAAAGGAAATACATGCCAACAGTACACAGGGCAGGTAACTCGGAGATTTCTTAACTCTACAGAGTTTGGCAGAGGTAAAAAGTTTATCATATTTATATTAAATATAAATACTAGCCTTCATATTTAAATTTCAGGTTTTACATATGTAAGATACTTACTTGGCCGATCCTGTACTTCCTCAATCAAAACAATACTGCTTAGCTCCACAAAAACAGATTCTGACCTCTCAGGATCATTATCATCCAAAACAGGCAAAGATATTGTGGCCTCACTTTCATTGGCTGCGAAGACCATGTAACCTGTAATGGGTATATAATCTTTTCCCTCTATTGCTCTAACAACATCAGGTGGAAGAAAGGGTGACTTTTCGTCATCACCAATAGTTCTGTATGTCACCATTACTGTACCGAGGAGACCACCACGCCTTATTATTGTCAGGGAGATATTTTTTGTTTCTTCCTCAACTTTTATTGGTCTGTTTTGCTCAGAAAAGATGAAGACTCCATATGGATCGTCATTAGCTAAAATAGTTAATGTTGCATTAGTATGATTTCCAAGACGACCACTGGAGACATTGATGATCAAAACTGAAAACACCTTATCCAATTCAGGAACTTCATCAGGAGAAACCTGTACTGTAATATTTGCTCTTGCTTGGCCAACGTCAAACGTTACATTCCCTTCTGCAGAGATCAGGTCTTTGGTGAGATCACAGACCACAATCCAGTGCAGTGTCACCTGAGACAAGGCCCCATGCTTTCTCACAACCTAAGTGAAAAATATAAAGATCTGCATATTTTTGTTCTATGAGAAAGAAAAACGTAAAAGTATGAGATGGAATTAAGTAAAGACATTGACATGATGGGTTAAAAATAAATTTGTGTTTTAAAAAACCAGTGTAATCTTTATTATGTCAGCTTTGCTGTACCTGTTGTCTCATCAACACTGTTATTTTAAGATAGTAGTACCTCAAATGTAAACACGTAGAAGTAATTTTAAACCTGTAGATATTATTATTACAACATTTTAGCTTCAAGCTGGATGATACACATTAGGAAACTCAGTATGAAATGGCAAAACAGATGCGCATGATAAAGTTGTTATAAACCCTATAGACTTATGGCAAAAACATCACAGAATGCCCAGTAAAAACAGAGACAGAAGAGGACTGCACAGCAATAAGATACTCAAAGCTTTCTAACCTGCAGCACAATATTGCTATCTCCATCTTCAGGCTCAGTTCCATTTACCGCGAGTGAGTCAGTACTGAACTCAAACACACCATGAGCATCATCAGAAGCCTCAACAGTCACAAGGATGTGGGATGCAATTCCCAAGCTAGCTGTTAAGTGCAAGTTCCAAAAAAGGTTATTTTTTCTAGCATCTTTTCTTACACGAAAGAAAACAGCTAAAGAAATATGTTACAAAAAATACACAGGACAGCATGACTGGAGTAGCTGTGCTGTTTTGTCTTTGTTTTTTTGAAATGCATAACCATCCACATGGATAAGGAGCTGACTTTCAATAATGCAGTCCTGGCAGCTCTTCTATGGAACTATGTAACAAAAAAATATAATAACTATGAATATTTTAAGGGAGGAATAGAAATAAAATTACAGGTTTAATGAATGAAAATGGAGCAGAATTTAGGATAGTGGGGAGTTATATGGTAAACAACAGCATAAGCAGATAGACCAAATGAATGCAGGTCTCATTCCAACATGAGCTGGAATGAAAAACAAAAAACCAAGTCTGGTAAACCCTACTACTAAAAAGATTGTCTTGGGTGAGATAACTTGCTGCTCAGAGACAGAAAGAGCCTGGGACTTAAGAAGACAATTTCTAGAAACAATGAAAAAAATAGTACTTAAAAAAAAAACAAACAGGAAGCTCCAAAAAATAGCTAAATCACAGACTTACTCTCAGATTCAAATGAAAATCCTTTGCATTTACAAATAAAATTGAAAATCAGGATGTTGCAGAGGAATAAATTATTCCGTTTGGATAATGGGTGCTCATATAACATTTTCAGGTCTGTAGGGTTTAATTTAAAGTCCTATATGATTAGAATTTCCCTCAGATTTTATGTTATTTCTGCATCTAGCATTTTTTTAATTTTCTCTGTATTAAATTATCTTTGTTTTATGTATGTCATGACATAAATACAAACTTAAAGAGAAGAAATTAAAAACAATAAAAACATTCCTTTAAAAAATCTAACAAAGCTTACTCTTCTTTAAAAGTATTTTTGACATGCAGAGAATCAAAGTAACATAAAGCACATATAAAAGCAAGTAATTTTTAAATTATCTTCAATTAAAAAGTGTCTTTGCTTTTTGTCTCCAGAAAATTTGACAATTTTCAAGCAAAACTAATTTTGCAAACTGTACTTCTGGAATTACTATGTTATGTTTTACAACAATACATTTTTGATGGTATAGAAGCTGTTATTTTCTGTGTTACACTAAATACTGACTGCTATTGAAATTATGCCTAAATTAAAATGGAAAAGAATGTTTTGAGAGAACTTTACAATAAATCTAAATTAATCACCTGTAACAGCAACACTATGACAAACTGTGTCAGTATAGTAATTTATGAGGGGTATTACAGTTAGCAATAAAAAATAGGATTAATCAAAAATGCTTACCATGCTGATGGACAGTTGGAAGGAAGAAATCCATGTTCCCATCACCACTACCACTGCCATCATTTCTAAAGAGCTCAGCAACTTTAATATGACAGACATACAGATATATACAGATATATACATTTATAAATAAAGAGAAAGCAGAAAGTAATTCAAACATTTCTGGACAACACAAAAAGAGAGGGAAATATTCTAGGAAGGCATCCATTTTGGATATGAAAGTATACAGGATTTCTGATAAAAGCAAGAAAAGGTATTGTATATGCCACCTCTTATTTAATTTATCACATTGGAAATAGCAATGGAAGGTCAGAAGGAAAGAAAACACATACAGCTCTGTGTTCTCTTTTCTTTCTTTCCCTGTTTGTGTCCCCTCTTCGTATTTCCCTTTTTTCATTTCTAAATGAGGTCTGTCATGGAGAAATTGGAAATGTGAATTAAAAAAACCCAGGGGCTAAAACCCCACAAACTCTCTTATTCTAATATTTTCTCACAAAGCAAAAACGTGTCAGAAAGTTGGAAAAATCTGCAGAAAGCTTAACTAATGGACACTTTACCCTAAGTTTTGTGCTTGCAATGGTGTTGGAAAGGCCAAAAAGAGGGTCTGTGTTAAGCAGGTATCTGCCTAGTGAATTACTGAAGTTAGCTATAAGTTTTCTGGTAAAAAAAAAAAAAAATTAAAGAGAGAAGTTTGGTTCTTTTTAACAAAACAGCTATTCAACCAAAAAGTCCACATTTCCTGCATTGCTTAATAAAAGTCAATTTATGGCTGCCAACATTTCTAATTACTTTTTTCCCTCCAACCAGCTTTATAATCTCCCTTAAAAATTTTCTCCAATGGAACAAGTTCTGAAAGGGATAAGTGGTTTTATGTGGTAGAGGCACTGATGCCTGCCATCCCCCGTGAGACTAGCATCTCACAGCAAGATTTCCTTTGAGTGTTTTTCTTGTTCTTCCACAGAGCTACCAGCTCTCTCTCCAGCTCAGCTAAACTCCTTAGGTGTCTCAAGACCCACAATCTCCTACTGCTATAATCCAGCTGAATACATTAGGAGTCAGTGTATCATGATTTCTCTGATTTCACTCAAGTGGCAGATAAAAAACCCACTTTGGCTGTTTAGCCTTAAATATTTTATTAATATTAACAAATTTTTTATAAAAATGAATTCATATATTTTTTACATTTTTTTAATTCTCATTACCAACCATGAAATTACATAACATGAAAATCAGCAATTGCCTTTAGATTACCTAATACATAGTAATAATACACTTTCTTTGGGATCTGGTGATTTCCAGCAACTATGAACAAACTATCTGAAGAATAGTTATGAAAAATTATAGCCGTCTGGGGGACATGGGAGTGTTCATTTGTTTTTAGAAATAACATGGAAATAGTACAGCTAAGAAAGGTAAGATTTTAATGAATGAGTAGAGATCATGAAAACACAACCAATGGATTGACATATGTGCCTTACCTCCTCCTTCTGGGTTCAACAGCTCTACTTTAAAAGTTTTTTCTAATTCAGGAATAGAATTATCAGTGATGTTAACAGTAAGGTACTTGTATCTTTCTCCTGGCTGAAATTCCAGCGTGCCCACAACAGCCTGCAATATGAAAGCTCTTCACATTTTTGTTCAAGTCTAATGTTTTCATCCATATAAAAAAAGAAATAGAACCTTGATTTTGGTTTTTTTTTGTCAAAACATCTACTTTTCTTCATGTAAGCTTTTAAAAAAATCTGCTGAATCTTTGTTATGAGAAAAAGACCTCTAAATTCATAGAATTATGAGCATCTGCATTCATCTACATTTTCCTGCACAAATATCAGTTAGAGAAGCAAACACAGATGCGCACAGGCTGTTTTGTTGAACATGTACAAATCTCAGTATGCGCAAACATAAACTTAACCTGTACATGTGCCTGAATGCTCACATGAAGTTTGATATAGTCAGCAACAATAGCAAATATCCCTTCTTGCTATGATGTTGACAATTCTCTTAAGAAAAAAAAATTAAAACTCCTCCTAGGCTTTTCCTAAGAAATAAAACATCCTGCACACACAGGAGGTAAAAGTCACATAATGATATATATTTTAAAGTTTATTACACATTCATTTATCACATCACCATATAAAACGAAGTGTTTCTGTGGAAAGAATCATAGCTGGGCTAAAATACTCAACCTGAAGGCTATCTCCAGGACAAATAACTCAAATTAAATTCCAGAATAATTACACACTTTGGCAATGGCCATACCTGATAATCTTTAGGACTGAAAGCTGTAAGTGGCACTGTTCTGTATTCCACCAGAACTGTTCCAAGAAGGCCTTGTGCACGAACTACCAGTAATCTGATGTGTCCAACTTCTTCTTTGATTGTAATATGGGGCACAGCAGAGGCTGGCAGAATCATTTCATCACCTGGCTGAGGAGGTGGCCCCACAGAGAACTGTAGTAGACCTGGCAGACCAGAAGTACTATTTACATGGCTTCTCTCACCAAATTTAAATTATGATAATCAACTGACACCAAATTATTTATAATATTTATATTTTGTGACATTTCTGAAATGAAAAATCAATTATTGATATGCTTTTAGGCCTCAATCATGCTATTTCCAGAGATGTGCTCTGTACCTTCCCTTCCCTCACTGATATCCTTATCAGTCTTGATAAAGCTACAGCACAATAATGAATTCAGCTCTTCCCAAAAGAGCCTCAATATGTCATAGTATTGGGTATTTATTGGTATAATAACAATGCAGAAATGTCTCTTTGCCAGGAATTCTCATCTGAGAAAAACTTCCACAGACTCAACCACATGCAGCCTTTATTTGCTCTCAGAAAGGAATCATCGCCTGTTTCATAAGTGAAGCTTTGATGCCTTTTTGTAAAATTCTCAAGACCAAGTAACTTATCTTTCACTCTTTTATACGAATTATGAATTAATCTCACAGTTAGATAAAGTGGAACAATTGGCATTGGTTCTTCAACTATCAAGGCTAAGCAAAGTTTTTATCTGTTGAGCTAGAACTATACAGTTATCTGAAACAAGGCCGTATTATCTCCATCATCGTTACCATATGGGTGGTCACTGGCTTTGATGCTGATATCAGTAGTTTCCTTTTCTGGATCTATACTTGCTCCGCTGGTAGGAGTTGAACCTAGTTTTCCATCTGCAGACACTGCAGAGACTAATGTCACACGGAAATATTCATTTAGCTCTGGAATGTCATCATCAATAACATGCAAATTTAAGACCTAGAGAAGGACCAAATAATGGAGAAATCAAACTGTGCAACATACATCACTTACAAGTTCCAACACCCTGCCTAACTCATCAAATTCTTCAAGCAGTCAGTCAGCTATATCTGCTCTGTAGTTCTGAAAGTAATGTGGACAACATTTTTGCTTTCCACATAATTTAACCTAACTTGTAGAATAATGTTTCACGTTTACAATATGTATTCCAAAAAGAATGTTACCAAGCTATCAGAAATGGAAGACATATTTTCTTAAGTGCTTCAAATTACATAAACATATAACCAAGCAAGCAATTATTTATTATCATATCTTAAAATAAGCATAGTTTAAATTGTGTATATTGAAATGTCTGATAGATTTCAAAATCTTGAAGAAATTGTGCTTCTGAAAAGAAATTACAGTGATTAATCCAATTTAGAGAGTAAATAAAGCAAGCTTTTTATGCCACCTGACACTTGAGATTGCAGATCATGCTATTAGTTAACATAATCTGCTCTGCACTGGCCAACGTATTCATCTCAGACAATTCCAGCTTTCTATATTTTGTGATATGATTAGACAAGCATATAGAAGAAAAGGTTTAAGTAGCTGTTCGTATTTGAGGCGTGGGAATGAGTAGCTTACAAATATCAATGGAAAGTCTCTTAGGCTATCTCACCTGAAGAGCAACAGCTCCCAATCTGTTTCTTAGGGCCATTCCCATTAATTCCTCTGTAGGTAGACAATAAATTGGACCACATAGCAGTGAAGCAAGAGGGTATACTGGCCCTTTTCTGCCACTAGATCGAATAAGGCAGGCCTCACCCATGCTGCCACACTAGATAAGCTTTGGAAATTTTTGCTTTATATGACTGTATGCAATGCAGTAATATGATTCAATGGAGAATCAAAGCTGAATGAACAGTGATATGACCAAACTATTTTCAGATATCACAAGCTTTTGCCAAGTTCTAGTCACTTACATTGTTTAATTGGGACCAGATCCACAGTTCTCGTGGAGCCACTGGGATCCTTTCAAATGGTGTCAGTGAGTTTCAGTCAGTCCACACTGACTTCAGCAGAGTGATAAAAGTGAAACCGAGGACGGCATTTTCTATTAACAATTCACACTTTCTATTTCATGAACACTAATAGAAAACACACATGAACTTTCCACAGTATTGTAGTCCCACACCTCTTCCTCAAATAAATCTGAAATTCCTGTGCTGCAGGTCAGGACTGAATTCACAGAAACAGATTAAGCATCAAGACACTTGATTACAGCAGTGAACTTTACTGTTGTCTATTTAATTGATGTGGAAATAAATCAAAGTTACAAAACTCAGATCAAAACCTGATCATTTTCCAATTTCAAAAGTAGCTGGATGCATAATTTCAGCCCAGGACTATCTACACTTCAAGTATACACATACATATACATATACCTAAATCTAGTTAATATTTTCTATGTATACATATTTGTAAACATATCTAGTATATTATGTGCATTCAAACATAAATGCATACATGATGACCCCTGAACTGAGACGAACACAGATCTATAAACTTCTATCATCAATTGCTAGTTGTCAGGGATGCAAAAAACCCTGCAAAATATAACAAAAGCCATGTGAAGGAAACACTCTCTAGTATGAAAACCAGTCAAGCACCCTCAGAAGGTATTTTCCAGCAGCTTTGCAAAGGACAGGATGAATAGTTAATAGGAAGGTAGGGTTTACCTCTGACCTCTGCCAAGGAAGGAATGTGATAGTGCCAGTGCTGTTAGAAAAATCGGTAACAGAGTAATTAATGCCAGTGGAATCAACCTGCGAGATAATGTAATTTATATACACATAGTCCAGGGCTCCCCTTGTACGCTCCACGACACAGGATATAGTGGAACCCTCATCAGCAGTCTGGAAAAATCAAGAAATTGAAATGTTTGTTATTGTCAAAGTAAATCAAGGCAATAAATGCAAAACATGGAATTCTTTAACACTAGTCAAATGTTCAGGTAAAAAACTGCTGTCATGTTACTTCCAGCACTTTTGGAGTGGTAAGAAGCTGAAACTGAACTTGATGGTGGTCAGAACAATCTTAGTGGAATTTGCAACAGCTTCTAATGTCTCCCTGGCTATAAAGGTAAGCCAATAACTATACCCTGTTGTTTGTTTTGGACACAATCACTTCCCCCAAACTACATGCCAAAGACAGAATCAATATGCTTGAAATGCACATGTCAAAAGCAACTGAAACTATTGCTTTATATTAATGTCAATTTTTAAAATTTTCATTAGCAATAATTTAAAGAAAGATTTGCATTCCCCCTTTCCCCAACTAGAAACACTACAGAAAAAGATAGATATATTAAAATTAAATTATACTATCATCATTCATGAAAAACTTGGAAAAATTTTCTATGCCACAGTCCTCTTTACAATTCTGTCTTCACAGAGAACATGACTTCAGCAGCAACAATTTGACATATTTGGAGCAAAGTAGGTATTGATACTAACCATATGTTTTAGAAAACTATGATCATAGAACTAAAATAGAAAATAATTTTGTTTGAAAATGGCCAGAAGGGCTAAAGCTATCTTAAGCATTAGATAAATTTCAGAGCTGCTGTATAACACAGTGCAGATACTGCATGTAGGCACTTCAGCTGCCTAGCAGACAGATAGCACATAAACCAACTAAACTACTGATAAAACAGTGCTGTGTATCTGCATCACCACTGACAGCTCTAATACTTCCCTGCTAAAATGCACGTAAGATAAGTGCAAAACAATTAACATGCCATATAAATTTTTAATTTTGCTTCATGGTTGGTTGATGATCTGTGGCATCACAGTATTATCAGTGGCATTTGAAACTGAAGGAATCTATTATCATTGCATATGGTAGGCACATAGAAAGCAAATTGAACTGAATTGAAAACCGGTATCACTCAGGCAGGATGGTTACTTTCAAACACATCGTGAGCACTTTGGTTAGAAAGAATGTAATTAAAAGGTCATGAGAGTTCCCAAATTGGAAAGTATCCTGAATTTTGTCTTCCAGAATAATCCAATACCAACAGAAAGAGGTATCATGTCTTTATGCCTCATAATTGATTAAAGAAGTAACAATTAATTATGTTTATTTCAATCCTCACCGAACAAGTAGCAAGTTTATATATTGCATATATGGTGGCTACCATCAAAGAACAATTCAATGTTTAAAAAAAAACCAATGCACAGCTAATATCAACTGAATTCACACTAAACATGCAATTTATACGTGATACCTTATGACAGCAAATGATTGCAGAAAAATACATCACACCTTGTCATTGCATGACCTTTGGTAAAATTCTTTCAAACACATCATGTGACACAGAAAAATAAAAGAAAAATCTTTGTAATAATCCAATATAATTCTCCAAACAAGAAAATTAAATCTTATGTTTTAATTGAAAACCCAGTCTCAGATGTGACAGAAGTAAAAGGAAAAAATGTTCTTCTAGAAAAACTTAAGCGTTAGTCTTCAGTTTATGTAATAAAATCAATTTTCTTAAGAAAAATAATTTTGGGGGATTTTTAAAAATTATATTGCAAATGCCAGTGAGACTGACACTGTATTAACAGAACTTACACATTTCCAAATTCTAGAAAAACTCTGCTTATCTACAAAAACTAACAGTGTGAAATCAAGGCCCTGCGTAGGTCAATTGGTCTTGTCATTAATTTCTCTGTGTCCAAAACTTCACCTATAATTCTCCTTATGAACACTTTACCTCAGGAATACATGCTCCAGTGAAGCCAAATAAACCATTAGCGTTATCACTTTTCTGTATTCTTAATCTTGCTGTAGTATTTTCTTGTGAAATTCGAGCTCCACCACGCACAGAAATGAGCTTTAGGATGAATAACTCCTCTCCTTCTTCCTCTTTGTCATCCTTTGCAGACACAATGAATGATTTATTGGTCTCTCCTTGCCGATACTCCAAATACCCAGAGACAGGGTGGACATCACTCTTTGCAGGAGTTGCATGGAGTTCATAGATCTCTGCTCGTGTCAATTTACGCTCATAAAGCCTTACATCCTGCATTAGCCCTGTGTACCTACT